TATCCAGTTGCTACTTGCTATATAAAGGAATAAATCTGAAGATTTTTTATTATCCTAAAATTTACTCTCTCTCTCTCTCTCTCTCTTTTTTTTTTTAAATTTATTCAAAATGTATAAATTTTGGGAAATGGAGAGCATTATCCAAAGAAAAAATATATATAATCATATTTTTCCCCCATTTCCAAGTAAAGACGGTGGAAGTGGAAGGCATGCAAATGTTGGAAAATTAGAGAGCATTATCTATGAATGCAGAAGCAGAGAATGGGCGCATTGTAATAAACTCATGCATGCAGAATCCCACAAGAAAGGAGTGAGGAGTACTGTAGCCTTCATAAAATATACAAAATCTTAAAATACATTTCATGAGATCCCCCTATATATGAGTGAAATAAGAAAATCCATCTATAATAATATTCTAATTAATTAACCACGAAGACTCTACAAAAATTGACCAAATATCTCAAAAGAGAAGAATGCTAAGTACACTCTAACCATAATTGACCCGAGTGTTTTTAATTTCTTTTAGAAAAGAAAAGCGGAGACAGGAGGATAAAGAAGAGTAAGGCAAAACTCTCAAATTTGTCCCTCACATGGAAGGGTAGGGATAGATTATCCATTAAAAATAAATAAATTTAAAGGCGAATTTGGTGTTCGGTCAAATAGTGATTATGCGGTTGAGAACGCAGGGGGTGCAAAGAGCACCCCTTATCCTATCTCAAAGTCAAAAAATGTGACTATAGTACTATACCCATGTGTCCCGTAAGTGACTGCATGCGACCCACCCACCAGGGCTACCTGCTTCCTCTTACACACACACACAATGCGTGCATGAGTTGGATCGTACGTGTCATCCATTATCAGTGGCCGCGTTTGCCTCTAGATTTGCTTCTTTTGCCACGTTTGATGGGTGCATAATCATGGTTCTCCGGGAGGTGGAGCCTGGGTTGAGCTGGAGAAAGCGAGACATGAGAACTTTTTGTGAAAATATCCCATACATTTTTCATGTGACCCCCCTCTTCCCCATCTCCATCTCTCTCCTTTTTGTTTTGTCCAATTTAATTCTGACCACCTAATTCTATGTCATTGATATTATTGTTAATAATATTATTATTATTATTATAAAAAGAAATTCTATATATTTTTTTTTTCGAACATGCAAAAAAGAAATTCTATATGATTAGTAATATTTTGGAAATAAAATCTCAATAAGTATGTCACAATTTGAAAAGACATGCATGATTTCATACTGTATAAAATAATTTTATTAGGTTATTATTATATATCAATTTTACCCTAATTAATCAAGGTCAAATAAAGGTGACTTTATGTACAATGTTTTGTTTGATTTAAGTTCGGGTAGAAATTGTTAAAGTTGCACCAGAACCTGACTAGTTATTAGCATAGCAAAGCATCAGGCAAAAAGTCTTTTCCTTCTTTTGGGACCCTGGAACAAAGAAGAAGCCCAACTCCATCTGGGCCAGCAGATCGACTTACACTTTATTCAGAATTGTTAAAATATCAACATTTATTTTAAAATATTA